GAGGGGTGACAGGTGGGGCGAGTTCATTGCATTTGAGGGGTGACAGGTGGGGCGAGTTCATTTAATTTGAGGGGTGACAGTTGCTGCCTGGTCTAAGTGTGATTTAAGTTTGCATCAGAATAATTTTACTTTCTCATTTTAATGGGGTATTTACATGAAGATGCGGTTGTTAGTACTAAATCAATTTGCAGAGGAAAAATTAAAACCGCTAAAAAGTGGACCTGTATTCATAAAGAAAATTGGAGGAAATATCAATGTGGACGAACAAATTTGCTCAAGGAAAAAATCTTGATTGCCGTAGATCGAAATTAAGAAAAAATCAAACTCATTTTAAACGAATTTCATACTTTTAAATTCGTTGCCAAATACCCATATTTAATTGTCTACAAAATAACGTGTATATTTACAAAGGCTTATATCTCAAGGTTGCATAGTAAATCGTTAATCCCAAAACAATATTTACAGATCAGATTTAGCAGATTTAATTTGAAAGTGCTCAAACAATTAACATACCTACATGTACATGTATATACTCTTATTCTGTTCATATTATTATAACCAGAATCTTTTGTATCATTATTTCATATCAAAACGAAAAACCACAGAACAATTACAGAAGTATTTATTCACCCTTATATAATTATTGCATAAATAGGCGTAGAGTTCCCGAATATGAACCAAGGCTACAGTAGGTCGTTTGCAGGTCAGGTTGCGCAATATCTCGGTGGGCTTCTGAAATGAGAAAACATATGTTGACAAATTTTGGGCACACGAACAGGCTCTGAAAACACGGCTAATGCATGCAATGTAACAGAAGAGAGGACACTCAAAACTGAAATGACGTGCATATTTATTAGATTGTCCAAAGTTCAGGCTCAGCTACCACCGATGAAATAGAGGCTAAAATTACGACAAAATTACGATCCGAAATATTTCAAATAATTTGACAAATCTTACTGAAAAGAACGGCTGAAAACACAATCCTTCCATTCGCACATGTTATTACTACGGTCGTTCACATATTGGTCGTTCACATATTGCACTTGCTGCTGAATGCCGTGAATGTAGCCGCTACCATCATGCACTCGTTTTTCAGGGGGGGGGGGGCTTTAATTGTTCTCAATAAAATTATTTTTTATCTTTTAACACATCCAAGAGATACATTAGACTTGTTGATAAAAATTAACCATCGAAGTTGTCCAAAAGTCCATGTGCATGTTGGTGGGTCAATTGTACCCATTGGTCAGAAGCTCAGAACTGTGACAAGCATTACTTTTATCTACACTGTAATGAGTCAGAGTTCTTGGTAGTAATGGTCACATTACGAAAAAATATCTAATGTAAGTCACAAGTATTCTCTTAAATTGTCTGGTCACAATGTTTTCCAATATTCTGATTGACATACCAGTAACGATAAAAGTAATATCATAAAGAATCGCGTTATACAATGTAAGTATTTGTCGTAAATTACCTGCATTTGTAAGTGACTTCAGCATTTAATGACAAATGTAATTGAATAAACCGTGATACTTACAAAACATGCATTTGCTTTATGGAAGCTCGACCTTGCTTACTGCACCACACAAGCTGCACCACACAAGTAGGCTACGTCTTCTTCCAACAATGTCCAACTGGCAAGTGAGTATTCTCATAGACAGCTCGCACTGCGATGAACAAATTATTATTATGCAAATTACGACTGGTACATGTATGACTCGTTCTAGGTGAGATGCTGTGACTACTTTTCACGAGTGTTCATACATGGACATACAGATATGACTGTCCTCTATAAGTATTGTGAAAACATACTACTTAATTATTTTAGAAAAAAATACACGCACTTCTTCCGCCAAGAAGTTAAAATCCCCATAAATGTGAAAACATACTACTTAATTATTTTAGAAAAAAAATACACGCACTTCTTCCGCCAAGTAGTTAAAATCCCCATAATATTAAACCACTTCAACTTCGACACCAGGGTAAATGTTGATAATTCTTGTTACCGAAAAAAATTGACGTACCGATAATCCCATATGAAATCGAGTACCTTTGGATCCAAGTGCCAGATGAAAGTGGGTCCAAGTGTTGGAAAAAATAAAACAATCCCGATAAATCCACGCTCAAATACGACCCACCCACAGACAGATTGGCCTACATGTAGGCCTACATGTATGATGTCCGAACGATCCCACATACATGAACCTCTAAATCGAAATGCCGATATGTTTATGCATTTTAAAAAGTTTCACTAAAACCAGGGGCGGATCCAGGATTATTTGAAGGGGGTGGGGCGTCCGGAACGACAGGCCTCGGATGCGAAGCTAAGCCGACAATCGTCCCCTTGGTGTGGGGTTCGCTGCCTACACCCTCATCTAGTCGACTAAATTAGGTTTTTTTAAATCATTCAATGCTTCCTGTTAACTTTAGTTCTTTCCAAGATTTCATGGCCGTAGGTAGAGCAAACGAACGGTTTGGGGGGAGGGGGAGCAGCAATTGAGGGCTTGCGAGCTGGTTTACTGCCCTCTTAAGCGTTCTCAAATTTAATTGCGTTTTTTTTTTCTTTTTTATTTATTTCATTTTTATTTTATTTTATTTGTTTTGTCTATTTATTTATTTATTTTTGAATTTACATTATTTACGATGTTTTAAACATATTGTACATGTATATGGCACCTACATGTAGGCCTAATAGTGTAGGCTATGGTTATCAATGATGACACATATGCCTTTGGATTTTTCATGAGGCAGGTATTGTTGGCAGATTGACAATTAAATGAAGAATGAAAGGTAATAATTCATTATCAATCCAGATGTTGATGAAGACTCTACTTCTTTCAATATTTCTTGAGCGCAGCCACGAACAGCTCTTCACTTCTCTTTCGCGTATAGATCTGCGTAACTCTTCAGCTTGTGGAGTTCTATTTCGATACGCTACATGTACCAATGCCGCTCGACTAGGTTTTCCCTACTGAGTGTACTAGTACAAATATGCCGATTTATACTTCTGTTACAGCTATTATTGCCCAAGAAATTCTGCAGACTATACCCAATGCTACAAAAACTGTCACTGACTTGAGCAGCGTGCTGAACTTGCGTCAGAATTGGGTCGTCGGAGACTGCAAAATCGAACAACTTGACGCTAACCATGATGACAGTCCTCCTATTAAACAGTGCCACGTTCAAGGTAGCTGGGAAGGAGTGCGTGATTTATATGATGCTTTAGCTAGTGAGTATGATCGAAATTTGGGGACTAAGTTAGTACAAGGGTGTAGTTCGTCCGCAGACCCAAAAGATTGCACACCATCATCATCATCTTTTTCATCGTCTATTCCTGTTCACTCTCAGACAAAGCGACTTGGCCAAATACACAGTGAAACTTATGCAGTGCAAAATCCAACAGTTGGTAAAGTCAGCCAAGGTAGCATCACAAGAGACATGAATACTGCAGCAAGTGACAACGGTGCCAAAATACTCGTTCCAAGTCACACTCCAATATGGACAGAGAGCCTTAATGGTATAAAGAATGATGTACATTTAAGCCAAGAAGAGCATCATTTAGAGGAAGATAAAAGCAATGAATTGGACCCTGGTGAAAATCCTCATAAAATTATGCCACTGACAAAAAGAGGTAAATATACAGAGGATGGAGTACAGATTGCAAGTTAATTTCTTTTTCATGGGATAAAATATTTTCTTAATGATTTTTGTATCGAGAAAATATATGAAAAAGAAGGAAAACACTGAGGAATGGCCAATAATTTGTAGTTAGCAGCTTATTCTTCTATGCAGAAAAATAATAAATATATGCTTTTTTGTACTTCTAGGCAGACCACTCAGGAAGAGGTATTGTTTACAGAATGCTGCAAGGAAAGGACAAAACACTACTAGTAATTCACAGTGTGTAGCCCTGGGAGTAGAAGATGCCAACAAATATGAACAAATGTGTGACTTCTGTGATGTTATTTCAAAGACTTGCAATGATTACTGTAACCATATTATGAATGAACATATGCTGGAGAAATGGGTCTGTTCTCTGTGTGGTCTGGTGGGTAAAGACAAAGCAAGCATGAAGGATCACTTGGCATGTAAGCACTGGAAGCTGAGATATTTATGCCACAAGTGTGGAAAAACATATAAGCGGTCAGACTACCTGCAATTGCATAGTTGTGGTGGGAAAAAGAAGGTGAAAAGACCCCCAAGTAATTTTCGATGTCTTAAGTGTGGAGAGAAATTTGCCAAGAAAACAGGTTTGGTGGCGCATTTAAAAGGATGTGAGAAAAATCTAAACTCAGGGACTGAGTCAGGGACAGAATTCGGTGAGATGACCATGCTACAAATGGAAAATAATCCTGTAGGTGACACATTTCAACAAACTTCCACCATAAGGACTCAACAGGACAATCCACTGAATGCTGGTGGCATTGATAGAAAAATGAAAGAGAAGAACGATGTTGCTAAGAAAATGAAGTCATTTAACTGGAGTAACATAAAACCTCACTGTACAGTAGAGAAAGGGAAAGTATCCTGCAAATACTGTGACTTTAAAAGTGAATACCGTTGCCATTTCAAGGTTCACATGAAAAGAAAGCACCTGCAGAAGTCTTTACAGTGTTCTTTATGTGACAAGATGTTTGGTATCAGAGCTGATATGAAAAGCCATCTGGAAAAAGTTCACTACAAAGTCAGGCATGTTTGTAGGATATGTGGAAAAAAATTTACAACCAAAGTAGGTTTGTATTTGCACACAAAACGACACACCTCTGAATCTCAATCTTTCCGTTGTGAATTATGTGAAAGATTATTTGCCAGTGCACAGTACCTGGAGGTACACAAACTTAAGGCACACAGTGCCAACCCTCCCTCATATGTCTGTGAGCAATGCGGCAATGCATATGCCAGCAAGTATTATTTACTGGAGCATCAGAGAATGCATGAAGGTACCCCTGTATACTGGTGTCCACATTGCTGTAAGCCGTATTACTATAGGAGGTCTTATGAACAGCATTTGGAAACCCACAACGAGCATAAAAGATACCAGTGTCAAGTCTGTGGGATGCAGATGCACACCCGTGGTGCACTGAATACACACATGCGAACACATACAGGAGAGCGTCCATATGCCTGTGAGGAATGTAAGAAGAGGTTTACACAGAAAAGTGCTCTAACACGCCACAAACGTATCCACACTGGAGAAAAGCCATTTCAGTGCCAGTTGTGTACTAGAAAGTTTAATGATGCTTCCATATTAAGAAGGCATATGGCCATACATCAAAAGTCATAAAAATAGTGGTATTAACTGTGTACTTATTTTAATTATTGTGCCAAATACCCAATTTGTTTTTGTAGAGTGACTTTATTATAATTTAGATAGCAATCTTTAATACTGTGCAATTTTTGTCTTCACAATTTTATTTTTTTCCAAACTTTCTTTGGTGGTTTTGTTCCAGAAACTGATCTGCCATTTAATTAATAACTTTTCTTATGATATACTGTAATTATAAGAAATTAATTTATTATAAAACCGATTTTACTTTTTACTTACGTATGTTATTTTTTTTACACAGCAGCAAGTAGTTATGTATGTACTTTATGATAATTAAATTCAATCTCACTCTTCACATTTGTTTCATACCAATCATGCAGTTAAAGGACCCCAGATACATGTATTAGTTAATATTTGACTTGAGTTAACTTTGAACTGTGAAAATTATGCTTTCACAAAGATGGTGCTGGAACCCATTTTTGATTTTAGTTGAGTTTGTTTAAATTAACATAAATATCACATATTTTACTATTGATGTTGATGAAGAGGTTTATATACAGTAGTCTTCAGAATAGTGATGTCGACCAAGAACTGGATTTTTACCAAAAGCAAGTGTATAATTTGATATGTACATGAATGTTTATGCCCCCCAGACTTCAAAAGTTACAACATAGCTGTTATTTGGCATCACTGTTGTCTGATTGATAACCTTTTCTTTTGAAGTTTTGGTGTTGATGCTATTTGTCAGTATTTTAAATTTTAAAAATTTTACCAGATCTCATATTTATGGATATAAGATCAAAATCGCAAATGGATGGTGGATTAAAAAATTCAAACTAAAACTTCAAGAAAATTATTTTATTGCACA